GGCGCCCGCCATAACATTCAGCTATTTTTTTGGTTGTAGCTGTCATTGTTGTTTGGCGGGCCCAGGCTGGATTCGAACCCGCCACCTTAGGTGTATGTGGCTGGCCCCTTAGCCACTTGAGCTATTTTTTTGGTTGTAGCTGTCATTGTTGTTTGGCGGGCCCAGGCTGGATTCGAACCCGCCACCTTAGGTGTATGTGGCTGGACCCTTAGCCACTTGAGCCACAGGCGCCGAGCCCCCGTTCCTGGGTTAATGCGCACTTAGGTTGTTTCCACATCTTGGTGATTGTAAATTGAGCTGTGATAAACAATCTAATGCAGATGTCCTGTATTAGATGTCAAATGATTTTTTTTTCTTCTGGGTACATACCTAGTAGTGGGATTGTAGGATCAAATGAAGAGTCTATTTTTAGTTCTTTGAGGATTCTCTATACTTCTTTCCAAAGAGGTTGTATTAGTTTGCAGTCTCACCAACACTATAAAAGTGTTCTCTTCTCACCATATCCATGACAGCATCTGCAGCTTTGGGACGTTGTGATGTGGGCTATTCTCACTGTGCTTAGGTGATATCACAAGGTGGTCCTGATTTGCATTGCTCTGATGATTAGGGATGATTAGTATTTTTTCAAACATTAGTATGTTTATTTACCATTTGTCTGTCTTCTTCAGAAAAGGTTCTGTTTGTGTCTCTTGCCCAACGACAGATGGGATTTTTTGCTCTTTTTCGTTGATTAATTTGAGTTCTCTAGATTCTAGTTATCGACCCTTTGATAACCAGAAAATAACATACAAAATATTTTCTCATTCTGAAGGTTGTCTATTTGCTTCGATTGTTATGTCCTTAGCTGAGCAGAAACTTCAGCTTAATTAAGTCTCATTTGTTTATTTTTGCTGTTGTTGCAATTGCCAATGAAGTCTTCATCATAAAATTTTTCCCCAGGCTGACATCTTTAAAAGTTTTTTCCATGCCTTCTTCTAGGATTTTTATCATTTCATGTCTTAGATTTAAATCTTTTATTCATGTTGAGTCAATTTTTGTAAGTGGTGAAAGGTGAGGGTCCAGTTTCAGTCTTTCACATGTGGTTATCCAGGTCTCCCAACCTCATTTCCTGAATAGGGATCCTTTTCCCAGTATATGCTTTTGTTTGGTTTATTGACGATCAGATGGTAGTAAGAGGTTGGCTTTATCTCTTTGGTTTCTATTCTGTTTCATATGTCTATGTCTCTATTTTTTTTCTTTTTTTTAGACAGAGCCTCAAGCTATCCCCCTGGGTAGAGTACTGTGGCATCACAGCTCACAGCAACCTCCAACTCCAGGGCTCAAGTGAGTCTCCTGTCTCAGCCTCCCAAGTAGCTGGGACCACAGGCATCCACCACAAAGCCTGGTTATTTTTGGTTGCAGC